TATCAATTACTTATTTAAGAAATTCATTTGAAAAATCAAAGAAAATTATTACATTGGTTAGTTAGAAATTATTACATCATCTTCTATGAAAAGACTAAAATTACATGAAACCAGGACTAACTATCCCAGCCAGTTAAGAAGCATGGTTGCAAGATTCTCTATACACAATTTCTTCTTTCATCTAGAAGATGTGTTTCATCTTGCCAGCGGAGAATCTGACACTTTTGTGCTATCTGGGGGAGAAAAAAATTGCAACGATTCTCCCCCATTGGTTTGCTACGTACTTAATTTAACAAAATTCAGGGCTGGTGATATAGGCAGGGATGATTTGGGAACACTCTCCTTTCCTTTCCTTTTGCTGTCCCTGTTGTGGATAGACTTGGAGGGAAGAGGGGAGCTGAGTGAAATATACCACCCCAGAGAGGCAGGGCAGTGTTGTCAAGGGACTGCTGGACAAGAAGTCTAAATTTGCGTTCTTGTTTGCCAAGAACAACCAAACCAATGGTTTGCTAAGAATACCACGGGACTTGGGAAAATGATGTTATTTCTCCATGCCTCAGTTATCTAGTTAGTAAAATGGGGATAATAACACTGATTTTATTTCATTTGAGGATAAAGTTGGACAGAATATGAAAATATTCCAGAAGGGACCTGGCTCTGAAAACATAAGGTTGAATTATATAGCCTGGCTGTTCTTATTGTTAAATTGTAAGAGAGCCAAAAGGAACAGTAGTCTTTTCTTTTATTGTGATGGCTTATATTGGCATGAGGGAGCTGGCAGTTGGAGCAAGGGAGTGGTGGCTGGCCCAAAATTAGCAAGTGCACAAGTGCCCTTTGGAAGAGATTTTGAGAGTCCATTCCATTTTGATCTGTTTGGCTTTCGGGTGGCTCTACCGTATCGCACCTCCCAACTTCTGATAACTTCAGCTTCACTAGACAATCTCAGAAGGCTACTTCCCTCCTAGTGATACTTGGGGTGTGGGGGTGATGTGGGAAGGAAAGATCCACCTTTGAGGACCTGTGTTAAGGAAAGCATCCCTCTACTCTGCAGATTGATGACAAACAGCTTCGGGGTTATTTGTCTGAGCTTCGCCCGGTGACGATTATGTTTGTAAACCTGATGTTTAAGGACCAAGACAAAGCAGAAGTCATAGGCTTAGCCATCCAGGATGCCTGTGTGCACATTAACTCTGTCCTGAGGGTCTTCCGAGGCCAAATCAACAAAGTCTTCATGTTTGACAAGGTAAATGTGAACTAACAGTGTGGGGACCTACCAATAATTTAAGGTTAGCATTCACGTCCACTGACACTTGGGAGAGGGAGGGAATAGGCACCTTCAACCTGGAACTGTCAGTCTTTATTTATAGTTACAATAACGGCTTACATGGTGGATACGGAACATAAGTGCCAGGCTTTGTTCTTAACGCTTTACATGCATTGCTCATTTTTCCCCATGACTACTCTGAGAGGTACGTACTGTTGTTGTCCCCATTTTACAGATGAGGATGTTGAGGTAGAGCTAAGGCTACTGAGGCAGGATGAGATTAAGTTTTGCTCAGTCAGTGGTGGGCTGGGATTCAAACCCAGATAGTCTGCCTTCCTAGTCTGTGCTCTTAACCACTATGCCCAGTGAGCTTTCACTACACATATATCTTCAATCCAGTGTATAATGAAACTCCCAGAGATTTTAGGTCAGGTTTCTAGTAATTGTCATACCCCTGAAGCTATAATTTCTTTTAATCCCCACCTGCTATATCTATACTCCCAGTTCCCCTATCAGTGTCATGGGAACTTGGGGTAGGAGCAGGGGGGCGGGGGTTCCCCTCTGGCTTCCAGTGTTCTCAATCTGCTCTTAATCAGTTCAGAGAAAAATGATGTGATAAATTATCACAGAAGTGTTAGTGAGACTTGTTTCCCCATCTCAGGTGTTTTTGTATCTCTCTGCTCTTAATTACTGCCCCACACTCATTCACTCAATAAGCATTTATTGTTCTGAGGGAGTGGGGACCTCCAGCCCAGTGTGCTCCAATACTGTCTTCCATATTCATCCACGAGTCTCATCAGAAAAGAGCATAGAACCTAAGAGAACAGTCTTTAGTGTTTTGCAGACACTCCAGGCAATTCATGGAGAGACAATTCCTGGGTCCAACAATTCCCAGCTGTGTGACCTTAGCAAGTCATTGAACTTCTCTGAGACTTGGATTATTCATGAATCATAATAGGGATATTTAGATAGGGACAGTATTTGCCTCAAATGATTGCTGGAGGTTTTAAAACATTTATGTGTGAAGCACTTGTTGCGATGCCTCCTTCACAGTCAGCACTCAGCAGATGAGAGTGGCTGGCCTCATTGCCAGAGCGAGTCAGATACTCACCTGGCCACGCCTGCAGGTCAGATTTCCAGGCAAAGCAGACCCAATGGTGCCCCAAAGGGCTGCCCTCTGTCTCTTTGCAGACCTGGAATCAGGGCTTCCCCCTCATGTCACCACAGAGCCCGGGGCCAATTAGGATCTGACACTTGGTCACTTTCTTTTCGGAGAGGGTTGAGGAAATTGAGGCATTTTGCTGTTCTTTTGCATTTCATCAGGATATAACATATAGAGGCTCAAATTTTTAACCCATTGGCTTTAATTTATTTTGCCCTTTTCTTACAGAAAATGGCATCTGACTGGATCATTTTTAACGTGACTGATAGTACAAGTGCCAAGCTTTAGTGTTTAATCTCTACCTGAAAGAGTTAGCTTTATGCGAAGAAAAACCACCTCCAGCTTAAGCCTTTATCCCCGAGAATAATGAATAATAATAATATCTGAAAAGAACTGCAGAGTTTATAAGTTATATGTATAGACATACATATGTATAATGTTAATCCTTTTATTTTTTATTTTTTTATTTTTTTTTACATTTTTTATTGATTCATAATCATTTTACAGTGTTGTGTCAAATTCCAGTGTGTTAATCCTTTTAGTAGCCAAACTTCAGCAAGTCTAAGTTACACCCATTTTCAGGTTGATAAGCTGCAGTTGATAGAGTATAATTGCCTTGTGCAAGTTTCTACGCTTGTGAAGTAGCTTGAGATTTTCTGATTCCAGAGCTGGTGATTTTCCCACTACCCAAGCTGCTTCTTAAACTTAGTATCTTGCAGCCTAAGACCTTGGCTGCAGGCAGAGCACACAGGAGGGTGAATACAGATAAGCTCAGTACAACCCACATGTCTGGAGCCAAACAAGCCCTTCTCGGGTTCAAACCCTACTGCTCATGATACACTACGAGTTACATGAAGTTTACTAAAAATAAAATAGGTGTGAGAGAAATCATGACGAAATTTGTCTCAGAAAGTGAAAATTGTTGCTCACCTTCCGCTGGGCCTTCTAACTGGTCCCATTTAAAGCTGACTGTCCGGCAGCAGTGTTTGCTGACTCTCTCCCTCACAGGGCTGCTCCTTCCTCTGTGTCTTTGGTTTCCCTGGGGAAAAGGCACCTGATGAGGTCACACATGCCTTGGAAAGTGCTGTGGATATATTTGACTTCTGCTCTCAGGTCCACAAAATCCAGTGAGTAATGATCCTGACTGCATCTGGTCCCTGACCCTGTCGTAGGATACAGGGAGACAGGACAGGGGGCAGGGAAGAGGAAGGCAGGAGAGGGCTGTCCGTGACTGGGCGCCCTTCTGTCTGCATTCGTTATTCACCCGATGTACAGGTAGGGCGAGCAAACCCAGCCTGAAGCCATAAGATGGGGGATGGTACAGCCCAGGTGGGGAAAGGACGCTCCTGAAATGCCCGAACGTACCAGGTCTGTGATATAAACTGAATGGGCTGTCTCCCCACACTTCGGACTTACTTCTTGGTAGAGGTCGCACTCCCAACACCACGCTGGAGACTTGAGTTGATCTTTAAGAACTGAGAGATAGAGTGAGTCCTTGGGTTGGAAATTTGTACATTGATCTGGCCTCAAGATGGTCCACTGAGTAAAACAGCTGAGACAGGTTTACCGTCCTCAACCCTGGCTGTCCCCGAGCCTGAGCACCCCAGTGCCCCTGACTTGCTGCCTACTCCGGTCTGCTGTGACAGGTGCCACCCTAGCCCTAAACAGTCCACCTTCTCAGCCCTTAGTTGTGTATGTATGCAGCTGTCTTCCTGTATTAGCAAAGTTAACTTTTGATGCCACACATTATACCTGAGTTACTTCCTTTCAAAATAATGACTTAGTTCTTTTTAAAAATCAAAAAAGATAGTTAAATTGTTTACAACCACAGTCACTCTATGTTGAAAGTCCATTGGGGTGATGGGGTAATCTTCCTGAAAAATAGCTCAGACGAATACTTAATTATAGCAGAAAAATGGGCTGAGTTATCACCTCTAAGAACTTAGTTCTGTGTCTCCACGGCTCCTGCCTTTACACCTCCAGGCCGTGTACCATTGCCCTAAACTAACTACAAAGGGAAGAGTGTTATTTCTTGCAAATCCCTTCCTGCCCCTCCCGACCCTGTTGGTCACCACGCCCCCACACTCCCCGCCTTCTCTGTGCTCATTGTCTTTATCTCTTTCCCCACAACCCCCGAGCCAGCACTGTTTCCATCGGCGTGGCCAGCGGGATCGTCTTCTGTGGAATCATTGGACACTCTGTGAGGCATGAGTACACAGGTGGGCCGAGCTAGCTTATCTCTGTTTCTCCTTCAGCCTTGCCACTGGGCTGTGAGGGAGAAAGGATGAAAATACACGAGACGTTTGCCCTCAGAAAGCTGATAGTCTTCCAGATGGAACTAAGCCATGTAGCTTTGCCCCTTGACAGCTCAGTGATTGCAGAGTGTGTATTTCTGGGGCTATGACTGGCTATAAAAAATATGCAGTCATTAGAGAGGAGCGGCGGGAGGCCACGAGCTCGTGGAACAATGAGCCTTTACAATAACTTCCTGTTAAGATTAAACAGTTACTCTTCTTAATTCCTCGGATAGGTTAGGACTACTTCTTAAAAATTATGAATATTGGCATTACTGATAAATAGCACTAATCTCAAAAGAAAATAGTGAGTAGGTATTATCACAAGATTTCACTGCTTTTCTCTTTAACCCAATTATTGGGGCCTTAAATGTTCACAAATAATACATCTAAAATACTGGGTACATCCAAGATACTATAATAGTTATGTCTGAAATGACACAATGTCTGAGATTTTCTTCAAAATGGTACAGGGTTGGGGGAGGGTATAGCTCAAGTGGTAGAGCACATGCTCAGCATACACAAGGTCCTGGGTTCAATCCCCAGTACCTCCTCTAAAAATAAATAAGTAAACCTAATTACCTCCCCCCTCCAAAAAAATTTTTTTTAAATAATAATACAGGGTGGAGAGTGGATGGCACTGAGGAGGGGCAGGACTGGCCATGGGTAGTAGCTTTTGGGATCGGCAGATGGGTATATGGAGATTCATAATACCGTACGTTATTGTTTGGTCAAATTTCCCCATAATAAACAGTTTTTTAAAAAAGGAATATCTTAATCCAAAGTATTCAAGTTTATGTTAAAGTTGAACATTTAATGCCTAATTAGTAGTATTAACTGAGGACTTACTAGCATCCCAGCACTGTTCAAAGTGTATTAACTCATTAATCATTATAAACTACCCACTGTTATCAACCCCACTTAACAGATCGGAAAACTGAGGCATGAAAGAGTTCAAGTAATTTGCCCAAGTACTTTGCACTTAGTAGTTAGAAGTAGAGCTAAAGATCAAACCTGCACAGCCTGGCTTCAGAGTCCGTGCACTGTAGTTTATCTCTTAAAATATCCCCTAAACCAATCTTCCACACCCTCCCCTTCCAGCCACATTTACTCACTCTTAAGAAATCACCAAACGAAGGTTCATGCATAGGAACATGCAGACCCAATTTTGTGCCTCATTTGGAGGTGAGTGTTACAGGCTCAAGCTCATGCTTGTCCGTCTTATGGCAGCCGACCCGGTATACCTCACCCGAGAGCCCTCAGGCCAGTGACCATCCCACTTAACAGAATCTTCTCCATATTCAAGGCCCCTCTTCCCTGAGCAGAACATCCTCTTATCTTCCCAGGTGAGGTAGAAACTTTACGAATGGCTGATTGAGTTATTCCCTGTATATTTTAATTTTTTTATTGAGTTATAGTCAGTTTACAATGTTGTGTCAATTTCTGGTGTACAGCACAATTTTTCAGTCATACATGAATATACATACATTCATTTTCATATTCTTTTTCCCTGTGAGCTACTACACGATCTTGAATATATTTTCCTGTGCTGTACAGTATAAACTTGTTTATACTCCCTGTATATTTTAAAATAGCCATTGGCTCAATCTGGGTAGTAGAAGGTGAGATTGCAAAAGGAGTAAAGGGTGACAATGCCATTTGGGGACAGTCTGCCTCAGATTACACTCAGTTTAATGGCTGTTTTCTACCTGCTCTTTGCCTCTCTCTCTCCCTCCTCCTATAGTCATTGGTCAGAAAGTCAACATAGCTGCCAGGATGATGATGTACTACCCGGGAATCGTGACCTGTGACTCCGTCACCTACAGTGGCAGCAACCTACCAGCCTACTTTTTTAAAGAGCTTCCAAAAAAAGTCATGAAAGGTGTTGCAGATTCTGGACCAGTGTATCAGTGTTTGGGCCTTAATGAGAAAGTGTGAGTGTGGGGCATTGATCTTGCAGTATTTTTTTAGTAAAGAAGTGGGAGAACTATGATAGCAAAATGAGAGATCCCCTCATTTGAGGATCTGTTTGGACCCAGATAAGGCCAGTCACCAACCATTAACTATAGATCACGTCAACTATGCTGTCAGGTGTTGGTAAGGCTAAAACACCTCCTCTAGGTGTTTACTGAAATACATCCCCTGAAAACCCAACTTGGTCTCTTACTTTAGCTTAAAGTCCTTCAGAATCTCCCAGTCATTTTCATGATAATGTTCAAATTCCCTACAGTGACATACAAGGTAACCACCTGCCTTTCCAACCTCATCTCCTCCAGTGCCCCTTCCTCTGGGATGTCTGAGGGGCTTACCCTCCCTTTCAGTCATTCCATCCCCAGTCTACCGAGGACACCAGGGTCATATTTGGAAATCCAGCTCAAGGATCTATTCCCCTCTGAAGCTGCTTCTGGAACTACCTGACCCCCGTTCAGTCTTCCCTCCTCTGCATAGCTCTGTAGCACATGTCTCTAGTAGAGCACTCATAGCACTCACAGCGCTCATCACAACCACTGCCTGGATGTGCTTGTCACTTACTACACTGGGAGCTTTTTGAGAGAGTGATTATTTCTCGCCATTCTGATATTCCCAGTGCTTGGTAGGCATCCATAGTGATGAATAAATAGACGGTGGATGGAAATTGAAAAGGTATTATTCCTTATATTAACAAGCTAGAATCTAGGTCTTAAAGGGATCAGATAACAGAATCAGGGCTGTCATTGGTTCAAGGAGTCTTTATTATTCACCTTTGTATTCCCAGGGCTCAGCACTGTTCTTGGCATGTGTAGACCATCAATAAAAAGCTGTTTGAATAAATGAATGGATAAGAATTTTTGTGAGCCCTTATTAAATATTAGGCACTTTTACATCCATATCAAGTATATGAGGTAGAAATTATTATTAACTCCATTTTATAAATTTTAAAACTGAGACTCAGAGATGTTAAATGACTTGTCCTGGGTCATAAATCTGGTAAGCAATGGAGCCAAGGTACAAAATGCCACAATATTGCTACATTATAGTCAATCACAAAACCTCAGTGGTATATGACAATATATACTTCCTTATCTCTCGAATATATGGGGTTTGACTGATCTTGGCTGGATTTGGCTGATCTTGACTAGGCCTGGGGTTCAGCAGGTTGTTGGCTGATCCAGAATGACCTCAGGTGGGATAACTGAGAATCTGGGCTGGCATAACTGGGACAGTTTGACTCTGTGTGTCTCATCTTATATCAGGCTAGCCCAGGCATGGAGTCGTGGCAATATCAGAAGAGCAAGAGAGAACAAGTCTAATGCCCAAGCTTTTTTAAAGCCTCTATGTCATGTTTGCTAACATCCCATTGGCCAAAACATTCCCAAGGCTGAGTCAGAGTGGGAGGGCGCTGCCAAGGTGTATTAACAAACGGCACAGACACAAGTAGGGGTGAAGAAGTGGGGCCCTCAATCTACCACAGAAAGCCAGGACTATCTGAGTCCAGAGTCTGCCCTCATTATGGTTTCTCTATACTGTCTCTGCAAATAAGAGACTGTGGGAGTACACATACAAATATGAACATGGCCTGGTTCCTGTCCTGAAATCTAATGGGCAAGACCAGCATACATACAATTAGCTGTATATTACATGGGAGACTTCAGTATGTGCTATAACAGAGGTGTAACAAAGTAGGATGATAGTATAGACAAGGGAGTGGTCCATTTGTCTAAAATGGCCCCTTCAAGAGATGCTGGTCGACAGTAGGCAAGCATATGCCCCTGGCCTAGCTTTAGATACTGACTCTGTCTGTATCCTCTGTCACCACTAGCCATGGGAATCTTGGGCAACCCGACTCTCTGTATTTCAATTTTCTCGTTTGTAAAATGGACATCATGATATTAATAATGCCTTCTTAATAAGGTTTTTTGTCAGGAGTAATGGAAACGATACATGTAAAACACTTGAGACTGGGCCACCCCCAGAACATGAGCTTTATTTTTTAAGCAGTTGGAGGAATCTTCCCAGGATGTGAGACAATGTATCACATCTAACTTTACTGGGTTCCTGGTTGAGTGTGTGGCTTCCCGAGAGGGAGGTCAGTTCTACCAATGCAGACTCAACAAGAATTTATTGAACAAGGTACCAGGCTCTCCGGTAAAGGCCACAACATAGGTTGTTTGGAGACTCTGTCACCAGGAAGGAACTTCTCCTTTCCCTTCCTTTTGGTACCTGCATCCCTGACTCAGAAAATAGACTCTTGTTAGAGATTGAAAAGGAGGCTTTCTGGGAACTAAGAACTAGTCCCTCTGGCTCTCAGTGTTTCCCTGTTTTGATGCTAATGTCTTCTCTTCTCTTCTCTTCAGCATGTTTGGGATGGCATACCTCATCTGCAACAGAAATGAGGGCTACCCTTTGCTGGGTAGGTAGTGGGCCTTGATTTTTAAACTTCTTTATTGAACTACAACCAAACATTCAGAAAAGTACCCCCATGATAAGTCTTCAGCTTAATGAATTATCACAAAATGGACATATAACCACCATCCAGGCTGAGGAATAGAAAAATAGCAGTATTCTGCAAACCGTCACATGAGTTAGCCCTCTCACTTTACCCAAAGACTTCTTTATTTTTTTAATTTAATTTTTTTGGGGAGCGGGTAATTAGGATTATTTATTTATTATTTATTTATTAGTGGAGGTACTAGGGATTGAACCAGGACCTCGTGCATGCTAAGCACACACACTACCACTGAGCTATACTGTCCCCCTTACCCAAAGACTTCTTATACACTAAATTAGTTAGGTCTGTTTTTAAAATGTATATAGATGAAATCATACATTGTGTAATTACATAAGTCTTTTTAAATCAACATTATTTTATGAAATTCATTCGTGTTGTTGAATGTAGCTATACATCATTTTCATTGCTATGTAGTACAGTTGGCCCTCTGTATCTGCAGGGTCAAGTATCCATGGATTCAAACAACCACAGATCAAAAATATTTTTTAGGTGGAGGTGGATATAGCTCAGTGGTAGAGCACATGCTTAGCATACACAAGGTCCAGGGTTCAATCCCCAGCACCTCTGTGTAAAAGAAATATATATATATATATATTTGAATTTCCAGAAAATTCCAAAAGGAAGAACTTGAATTTACCACACACTGGCAACTATTTTACATTGCATTTACATTGTATTCCATGTTATGATTAATCTAGAGGTGATTTAAAGTATACAAGAGGCTATGTGTAGGTCATATGCAAATACTACACCATTTTATATAAGGGATTTAAGCATCCGTGGACTTGGGTATCCCCCGGGGTCCTGGAACCAATCCCCTGTGGATACCAAGGGATGATTGTATTCCATTTTATAAATATACAACAATATATTCATTATGTTTTTGTACATTTGAATCGTTTCAAGTTATTATTCCTATGAATAATATTGCTGTAAGAATTCTTGTGCAAGTCTTATGGTGAACAAAGTTATGCATTTCTGCTGTTGAGTGTGTATATATACATAGGCAAAGAGTACAATTTTGGTAGATGATGCCAGTTTTCCAAAATGGTTATATTTGGTTATATTCTGACCCATTCTGTTGGGTTTATAGTGATATCTCATTATGGTTTCCATCTGTGTTTCCCTGGTGTGGTTGAGCTCTTTTTTCAAATGTTTACTGGCCACTTGGAAATCATCTTTTATAAAGCGTCTGTACAAATCTTTGGCCTACTTTTCAATTGGATTGCATTTTGTATAGATCTTTTGGAATTATTTATGTATTCTGAAAATAGGTCCACTGTCATTGGTTTCTGCTGTATGTAGCTTTTCCCATTCCATGCTGGCCTTTTGACTCCACTAGTGATGTCTTTAATGAACAGAATTTTTTATTTTAATGAAATCCAATTTACCAATCTTTTCTTTTATAGTTAGTGCTTTTCTATACTGTTTAAGAAATCTTTCCTCACCCAAAAGTCATGAAGATATGTTTCCAGAATCTCTTCCAGAAATTTTGTTTTACCTTTTACATTAGATCTACGATCCGCTTGGCAGTGATGTTTTTGTGATTCTTGGTGATAGTGACTGATAGCGACCCTATCATAAAAAAGCTAACTCAAGACGAGACAGGGAACTAAACATAAAATGAGGGAGGGTTACACCCTCTGAGAGAAGAGATTCAGTGAAGATTAGCTTGTGGATTCTGAAGGCAGTCATTTCTAGTAACACTTGTAGCTTCCTTCTGTTAGACCTGAACATCCCAAAAAGTGTCATTCTGGATTTAAATCCTGGTCATAACTGTGCTAGCACAATTCAGAGGACGCTCTGTCTCAAACTTTGGAGGAATATTAGGACAGCATCTCGATGTCACCAGAGTCTAAAGATGGCAACAGTTCCAGAATGGCAAGAGCACCTGGGCCAAAAGCGATGCCCCACTTTCTCTACATTCAGGTAGTTTGCAGAGCCTGTAAGCTTGTCACTTCTTGTAGGTCCAGATCCCCAAACTCCTGAAGGCTAGGAAGGAGAAGGAATGCCCATTCTCACTGTCCTCTGAGGCCTTCCTTTCCATCCTGGGGTATGTTTGTTGTGATAATGATTGACAGTAAATGGAAGTCCTAACCCCCTTTCTACAAGATTGAGAACTCACTGTGATAGTCATATTAGAGCGCAGTGGTACACTATGCAATATATTTCTCAGTCTAGTCTAGTTGCCTTTTTGCCTTGAGTTCACCAGTGTAAGGTAAAAACCAGGTCCACATATCTTTCCTTAAAGCTATAACCAAAAACAGACTGTTGGAGGTTAGGAGTATGGGAAATACCCTTCTATTACAAGAGCTCCTGTAAATGAAATTTTGTTTGCTGACAACAAAACTAAAATGAAAAAAAGTGTTTTCTTTTAGTGTCAAAAATGCATACAACAGCCTCAGATATTAGGGTCTTGTTTAAATAGAGACAACATACATGTAGTTCAAGTTGAGTTAGCTTCACTTTAGAATCCAGCTAAAAAGGCAGTCCCTAAGTTCTTACCTGTATGTACTCTATACAAACAGAACACAAAAAGCTAGAAGATCCTGCTGTGTGGCCTTCTGGGCCTTATCTTCTGAGTTCCTATGTGATCCTCAGACCAAGAAAAACCCTACCCATCTCACAAAACTGAAATTCGAATGCATTTTCAGAAAGGGAATGTTTCCCCTGAAAGAAGCAATATGGTGTATAGAGTAGTTCCCACTAGATTGTAGCCAGAAATTCCCATTACCAAGTAAACGCTTAGCTTCCCTGTATGAAACATCTACACTCAAGGTAGTGGTCTTCAGTGCTTTAGATAACAGTTGGGTGTGTGTTTACTTGATCAATGGGTAACCAGATGGGCCCTCCTCAGCGACCTCCCCAGCAAAGAAAGAAAAGTCAGCCCCACTGGGTCTCCAGCTCTTTGGACAGAAATTTGTCATTTCCTTCCTGCCCACCAGATTTCAAAGATTGTAGGCTGAGTTTCAGATTTCAGTCAGGGTATCCTGTTACACATACTTAAAAACACATAAGAAACATAAGACTGATGGGGCTGGAACCCAATGTGACTTTAATTTTCTTCTTTTCCTTTTCTAAGTGTCCTATATTTTCTACAGTGAGTATGTGTTAGTTTTATAATCAGAAAAAAAAACTACAATTTATTTTTACCAAGAATTTAGGTTGTTCTTAGGGTAGAATTAATCTATACATGATTTTTTTTTAAAGCAAATTGAATTTTCCTCTCCACTGATAATGCTTCTTGTAGCCCTGGGATAAGTATAATTTCTCATTTGCAAAGAGCAAGTTTCTTTCACAGAATTGGAGATAAAAATATTTCATCCGTATTGTTGAACATAGGAACCCAAACTTCAATAAGTTTATTTCTTAGTGTAATAATCTCTAGTTACCTCTAGTGTGTCATAGAAAAAGAGAAAAAAGAAAAGAAAACAAGCATTAGTGTCAGATAGCCATGGTTTAATTCCTGGTTGTGTAATCTAAGCAGATCTCAGTTTTCTGCACTAAAATTAAATGGACATCATAATGAGCATTATAAGAATACTTTCCCTCACAGCTTGTGGGGATAAAAAAAATCTGTAAAACCACATTGTTAACTGAAAAGTTCTAAAGAAAGATTTTTTAAAAAATGTAAAGTGCACGGGACCTAAAGAAGCTGTGTGAACAACGCCTTGGGAACCCCCGGGGTGTCCTTAGAAGCAGTATCACTAGGTGCTTTTTTTGTGTGTCTCTGTTTTATGTTGATTGGGTTTGCTCCCTTTTTAAAAACTAAAAATAACAGGACGTGATAAGGAGATCAAATACTTCATGTGTTCTATGAAGGAATTTTTGATGTCTAACTGCAGCCGGGTCCTGATGTACGAAGGATTATCGGGCTATGGAAAAAGCCAGATACTTATGGAAATTGAGTACCTGGCCCAAGGTGAGAACCACAGGTGAGTGTCTTGCAAATGAGCATTTTTTTGTGAGCCCAGAGAATCCCGATATTCAGAAGAGTTTCTCTCGTTTTAATGCTCCTCTCCTTTATGTAAATTGCCTTATGTAATCTGTTCACAATCTATCAGTTATTATTGGGTGTCATGTCTCTTGTGCTAAATAATTAATGATAGACCTACTGAACTGAGAAAATGAGAAGCTGAGCTGACCCCTGGAGATCTTGCTTTTATGCCAGGAGGGGCTTGGATATTGATATTTCTAATATGCAGGCAGTTTGAGAACGACTGGTTTAGACATTGAGTCCAAGGCTAGATGGGGTCTGCAGAACACACATTAGATTGTTTGTGTAGTTGACAGGGCATCACCAGTTCAAACCATTCAGCCCTGAGAGTATGGTTAGAGACTAAAAGGCCTCTGGACTTCCCTCTGGAAGTCAGGGCTAATGCACTTACCTCATGCTGTCTGTCTCTATTCATGTAAAGGGTGTCATGTGGGCTCCCTTTGGGACAACCCAGCTCATGGAGGTGGACAGTATGGAATTCAATAACAGTGATGATGCCGAGACAATGGCAATGGTCTCCCACATCCTTTCACCATCGAACCTAAAGGCTTTAAGGGGAAAATTCTTATTAACTTTACATTATTTTTAGCTGTGTTTCTACTCTTTTTTAATGTCAGGCCCGAGAAAGACTAGTTTTAAAATATCTTTAACATTGCTGAGGGGATAACTCAAGACAACCAGAAGACACTCATTTCTTCTTTTATTGCATCACTTATTGAGTACCTACTATGTTCCAGGAACCAAGAACTGCATGGGTTTGCTAGAGCTGCCAGGACAAAGTACCACACACTAGGTGGCTTAAACAACAGAAGTATATTGTCTTTGTGTACAGGAGGGTAGAAGTCCAAGATCAAGGTGTTGCAATGCTGGTTTTTTTGACAGCTGAGGGATGATATGTTCCGTGTCTCCTTCCTAGCTTCTAGTGGCTTGCTGGCAATTGTTGGCGCATTGGCTTGTAGAAGCATCACCCCAATCTTTGCCTTCATCTTTACATGACATTCTCTCTGTGTGCTGTCTATGTTCAAATTTCTCCTTCTTATAAAGACATAGTCAT